TATTTAATAAGTGTTTGTTGCCTTGCTTTGTGCATTGAGGATTGAAATTATAAGCACCACTTAGGGCTAATTGTTCAATGTTATTTTTTTTTTTTTTTTGAAAATGGAAAGTCGGATAATCAGAAAGATAATCTTTATTTTATTGGTTTTACTTTGACATCACCAACGATTTTCTTATCAACAGCCTGTGGGGGAGACTGAAACAGCCGTTTATCGGATAATACCAATTTTAACAATCTGATAAATGAAAGTGATTTTAAAAGATATGTTCTTAGTACCGCTCCATAGAGATTGGAGAGTATTACGATTGATATGATCACGCCTGTTGAACCATGGTCCCGTTCCGCATTGAGCGATTGCCCTCGAAATTCTAAAGATCGAGAATTGTTCCGATTGAGAGTTCAACTTGACTTAACGAAGGCAAAGTGGATAATGAAGCCGAGCGCCCCCTCGGGCAATATTTATACAACCGGTGGGCCCTTCTGCTCGACCATGCGCACTCCATCGGGTTCAATAATGCATAGGCTTATCATTACTAGAACTTATGCATTGGACGAATTGGTGTAACGATATGATCGGAAGGCGGTGATCATTCGATTGGATCTCATCTGATAATGTCAATTTGTTTTTAAATTCGTGAAATTTGGTTGAGGTCTAACCAGTTGGCTGGCATGCAGATTTCAAAGAGACATCTAACAATTTAACTTCCCCAAATGATCAAGATTCACTCTACATTAAAGAACTAATTCTTTACAACGGCATTCAGACCAGAAGCTAAACATAATTGCCAAAATAAAAATTACTAATAACAAGAAACGTCTCGTAAGTACAATAAAGTAAAATCATGACAATGTGTCCGAATATATACAAAAAACAAAAAATATATTCATAATTTATCAATCAAACAAACGTACCACAGCCAGCGAAAATAGCGAAATACCGAAAAGCGTCTGAGAGAAATAGAACAGCTAAAATAGGCGGACCAGGTTGAACTGAGACGATCAAGTATAAGTGCATGTAATAATTAATACCTATAGGTTCATATAATGATAATGTTGGGGAGAAAATTCTGAATGATAAATTTAATAACCTACTATTATTCGGAGATCGTGAGATGCGGTCTGGTGTGACGTAGGTTTTTTTTTTTGCCTTATGATCTTTGCATATTAACCATGACGAATTCTTATATAGGCGAATTCTTATATATATAATTCTTATATATATTATATTCTTATAGAGGCGACGGTGAATCGAACCCACGACCGCGGCGTGAGAGTCTCTCATGCTAACCACTCGGCTACCGCGGTCCCCCAAAGGTCTGGTGTGACGTAGGTTTTAGAAAAACATTTTCTTTATCGTGCCAACGTTTCGATCTTTATTGAGATTATCTTTAGGGCTCAAAGTGTTTGTTTTCGGTGTAGCTGTGTCATTCTTGTGTGGTCGTGTTGAGAGTGGGCACTATCACCAGACCGCATCTCACGATCTCCGAATAATCATTGACTAACGGTCACTAAACACCACACATTAGTAACCTATGTGCTTATAAAGTTATTGAAACAAGAAATGGAGATTAATTGAACAATGATGATCGTGCACCTGTAGTAGTGTGAATGTAATTTATTAGCGTGAATGGAGGGGTATGTGCCAATTACCTCGAAGCATATCGAGTACTCTGGGATAGTGTGAAGCTAACTAGACTGTCATGTTTTTATGTATTTGTGTTTTGTTATTTCTGTTACTTTATTCACAATTGATGAGAACTTAAGGTATAGTGAGGCTAGCGATAGGATAAAGAAAATAGAAAGTTGTTGCCGTTATACCATAAAATAACATAACTTGGCTGGAGAAACAGTAAAAGCAATTAATAGGTTTAAAACGCGAGAAAGATAAGAAATGAAATACAAAGCTAAGAAAGAGAGGGCATGGCGATTACCAACTCTTTCCGCAGTTAACCCTTATGATCATCCTTAGTTGGTCATGCACATTAAGAACCATTATGGCTTTGTAGGCTCTTCTATAAATTGTTTATACAAAATCTATATAAATTGAAATTTGTTATAAAGAACAAGTTCATACTGCAACAAAACTACCAGGAACATAACAACAAATACAAGAATAATCCGTCCTTCGTGTATCGTTTAAACTGATGTAGCTCGTGTTGTCGTCTGTTCTGTAAATGGAAAAGGTTCTGCATATGAGAATTTAAAAAAACCTTTTAAATAAAGTTAAGGGGATCGGTCCGAGTACAAACAGTTTATACAATCCCTGAAAACAAATGACGCCCCCACTCATACCTGGATTCTTTGGCAGATGACGGAAGTATGATTTAAATGGATTGCTGCCTTCCTCGTGAAAACATCTCCTTGTAATTTATTTTTCCCATTGTATTTCAACCTGACTAGACGTTAAAATACAAATAAACATTAACCGATGAAGTTTTTTCCAATCTTCTGTTAGAGCAATCCAATTCCGATTGTTAAATTATCAGCATAAACAAGATATGCTATTAATTTAAGCAATAACATGATGCATACAATTATTTAATTAAATTAAAGGCTATGAGTACAATTATTTTTTCATCTTATTGATTGTTTCCACTGTGTCAACAGTCCTCAAATGATTTTATTTATGAAGTACAATAAATTATATATCCGCAATTATTACATTGCTAACGTTTTTTTTTTTTTTAGGTTTTGCCGGCAGCGGGTGATAACAAATTGATGGAAAGGTCAAGTTGAAATCAGGTCAACGTCGGAAATATATCAAAATCCAGCCAACACAGAAATGGTTTTTATAGAAAGGTAGTACTAATTTATTAACGCGAGGTGGAGTGATTTGAGTAGGTGTGCATATGTGTATGCGTATTTATAATTCACAAAAGGTTATTTATTTTACAGATAAAACAGACGACCTTTTATCCGCGCTTTATGATCCTCCGTTTGTTTCCTCCTTTATGGATCAAAGTATTTTCTTTTAGGTTTATTTCTTTTATATGTGCAATACTAGAATAATAAATAGAATTGAATAGGAAAGTTTTGTATTTATACTTTTAGTATTTTATCGGTGTGTAACAAATATATATATTTCAATTGTATAAGTTGAATTTAAAATATAAATGTCAATAATATATGAAACAAAAAATATTTACATGCAATAAACAAATATTACATTTTAAACTACAACACAAATCATAAATTTTATTACCCTACATGAAATCTACTCATGTATTTATTCGTTTAAGCAAAAGGCTTTTAATCTTAAAGCCATAATGGCGAAGGCAAATTATCATTGGCTTGTTAGACGTTTGAAATATTGAAATATAAAATTAAAATTAGTTGGTCATCGTATTCAACGCAATATTTATCTAGGTAAAATCTTCTATGAATTTCATAAACTGAACATAAAAGAAAAATGTTTTAATGTTTCAGTTCTTGCCTGTTACAAATTAAACAATTATTATTTTTATTCGATATATATTTTTATTGTCCTTAAAATATGTTATGATCAGCTCTTTATTAGCTAATCTCATTTGCTTAGGAATCTTCTGTTTATACAATAGGATGAAACTTGAGTTTAGTTGAACATTGTGTACTGTGTACTGTACAATTATAATTATAATAAGCAGGTGGGTGAGCGAGAAAAAAAAAAAGACAAGAGAGGGAGAGAGAGAGGGTGTGTGAGAGAGAGAGAGAGAGAGAGAGAGAGAGAGAGAGAGAGAGAGAGAGAGAGAGAGCAATTTTGCCTACACAACTACTTAAATTCCAAACTGATTTGAATAAAATGCTATTATGAAGTACTAATTGACTTTCATAACTTGAACTTTTAGAAAAATATTATTTGTAAAAAATATAAGTTTTAATTTTTGCCATTAAATATAATTAAATTAAATAAGGTCAGCATTAGATGATTAAAGAAAAAAAGTTTAATTACAGAATTTTTCCCCAGCAAAATTACATATTTTTGTACATAAGTACCGTTTACATTTTCTCGCTCAAGTACCATACTTCGTACTTTTTTATGCTTACATCGTTGTACCAGCTGCACGGTTTTATAATTTAGAATGTTTAAAATAAATACATGTTACATCATTAAAAACAGATTTATTGTTCATAATGATAATAATGATAAGCGTGATTTTAGAGCACATGTGGAAATCCCGAATCGGGTTGTGAAAATCGGAAAGAATTTGGAAATAATTTGAAGAATTAAATATGTAAATTATTTTCAGCACAAGTTCTATTAATCTGCTTTAATTTTATTGGTGACATTTTAATCTCCGATATAATAAGTGAACCGCTTTCAACATTGTAATTTTATATTAAAAGGCGATCAGGGATGAGGGCCAATATTGCCCTATTGCCTTTATTGTCTTTCAGTGTATAATTAACATTTTAATTTATTTAAATACTCAAACATTTTTTATGATTTATTTCTGCAATATAAGTTTTTTAATTGTTATCTTTAGAAAAACATTTTTGCTGGTGATGTTATAGTTGAACATGTAGTTTTGGCACGGTTCTTGCTATAGAGTAGCAAATGTACTAAATAACTAAGCGTAAGGATTAAAAGAACATAGCTACGGATAAATAGAAAAACATAACAGGAACCCATATAAGAGAATAATTCATTATACGAAAAATATAACTTTTTTTACTTTAATTTTTGATCTTATCAATATGTTTATAAAACCTCACTTATTGGAGGATAAAGATGCTTGTTCGTCTGTTTCACTTGATTTCGCTATAATTTTAAATTTCATTATTTTTTCATATTTACGGGTGTAATTCAGAAAAACGTGTATTTATTTATATTTGGTAGCAATAATTGGAGGCGGTGTGTTCAAAAAGGCGACACCAGAGACTACTTGGAGTGATGGAATAAGTAAAGGGATTGTGTGTAAAAGGAAAATGTCCATAGCGAATGGAAATCATGGAAAGCTGGTGGGAAGGCATAAGCTCAGAGGCGGTGAAAGGGTTATTAATCAAAATTTGAATTTATACCTGTTGTTGTCGCGGTGGGAGTTACCTGTTGATACACATGACTTAAATAAAAATTCGGTTCGGCTGCAAACCGTCCGGGAGCCGTTTTGGCACTGAGCAACCCCCAGGCTTCCGCCGCTCACGTCCCGTGGATGCTGCTGTCGGGGGTGGGGGCTTGGGGGTGGAAAAAGGGGAGAGCTCACACTCAGAAAACGGCCTGTGGATCCATCCGACCGCCCCCCGATTATCGACGGGTTTTTAACGGGAGAAATTGTACCGCCAGTTGGCCGCTTTTTTCGCTTTTCGAAGGCCGATTCGGGTTTCCGTTTTGACTGGGGAAACGTTTCCGACCCCAGAAACGTCCGCACTTTCACGGATCGATGTCGTGAAATTTAAGGCCTTCAATTAATTCCCCCTGCTCCACTGGAAATTGACTCTTTCGAGAATTTTCCGAAGAACCGGCGATCCACGGTGTCTTTTTAATGGTAACGAAACTGGAAACAAGTAAATCATTCCTGATTTTCACATACTTTTATATGAATATATTTGTTATTTACTATCATGTTTTTACATTTTTCCATACTTTTGTGTCCTACAGTTCAACTAAAAAACGGCTTTTTTAAGTTATTGTTTTTAATTGGTTTGTTTATATAGTCATACAAGAGGACGACCAGATTGGTATGTCACGGATTGGGACCAAACCTTTTTTGCTGATTCTACACTCCAAAATATCGGACCAGTATGCGCCACTTCTTGGTTTTGCAAAAAAATTTTTTTTTGAAAGTTGAAATTTTCCGTTTTTAAATATTTTTATTTCGCCGTTCTTACTTATATCAACTATGTGAATATATCATTGTACAGAATTTTTTATGTAGATTACAATAAAAATATAATACAAGCTATCAAAGTTTATCAATAACCAAAACATTTCTATAAACCAATTTTTTTCTAGTAAACTAGTTCATAAATTTTTTTGTGAAACTATTATGAAATATAATTTTATTTCCATTTAAAATTATAATTATGAACTATTATGAAATATAATTTTTTGTTTGAATTACCGGTAAAGTAAAAAAAAATTAAATGTATCGATCTTTTGTCCCCTAAATTTTTTCCGATTTTTGAGAAGTCGTTATCGGAATATCTGATCGAAACGGCTATAATTCAAAAACGGCTAAAAGGATTTTAACCTCAAACACACCATTTGAAAGAAGATAACGTAGCTTTTTAAGGACGTATGTAACATTAAAATATATAAAATATTTCTTAAAGAAAATACACAAAAGAACAAAATTATTTGTCAGAAATAAACCTCATTTTTTTAAATGGAAATAATAGTCCGATTTTAATGTTTGATAATCAATAAAATCAACTTGGCAATTTTTTGAAAATGAATTATGAATCATTAAAATCAGTCTCCTAGGTATTAAGAAAAATGATGTAGATCTTGCACTAAAAGTGCCAGTCACGCAGAAGGTGGTCTAAATTATCAGTCAAAAAAAGTAATTTACACCGATTTCCGCGAAAGTCGGTATCTAGGGGTTTTATAAAGCTAGAATCACGATAATGAGGTCAAATCCAAGTGTTGACTATTTTCTGACCTACTTTGTTCACAGAATGTTATTATAAAATATGCAAAAAAACAGTATTTTGTTTGATTTTCTTTCTATAAATCATACCAAATTAGAATATTCTGCTTACATATTTAAATAACCTACAATAATAATAAAAAATAAACCTCTTTGCCTCTTCCCTCACGTTGAGTGCCAGCATCGGCTGGTTTCTCTTGGTATATTTTCTTCCGGTTGCTGCGCTGGCATTAGCGTTAGTGCTTTCATTGTAAAATTTAAAAAAAAACTATTGCGAGCACATTTGTATAATGTACTAGTAAGTTACAAATGAAATAATTATAAATATATTAAAAAAATGGGCCAACAGTTCTGCAAGACACAGACGTTGTACGGGTTTAGCCTATTCTAAAGTCGTTATGTGAACTTCATGAATATCCAATATTTATTAAATAAACACTTCTTTTCATTTAATGTTACTTAATTTTCTGTTTTTAAATCATTTACAAATTTATCTTTAAAACCCAACTTAAAATGTATGTTTATTTGTATTAATTACCTTATTTGTATTAATTAAAAACATACATGGATATTTTTATTTTATTTATTTAAAATTACCTGCAGCTGTTTTCTTTTTTATTTGTATGTTTCGATGTCTCACCAAGGGTACTACTCTTCAGCTCAAAAGCCTCATGAATGAATGCTACTGAGTGATGACTGATTTATTAAGCTCAAATCTGTGCACGCATATACGTACATAAACGCATGACAGAGTTGAGCCTATCACTTCTCACAGCTGTCACGATCCTGGGTGAACCGCGAGTCAAGCAGGAAATCAAAACACCTACCAACCGGAACTTCTATGACACAGAATATTCTAATTAGTATGATTTAAACAGATAAATCAACAAAATACTACTTTTTTTACATATTTATGGAAGCTGGAGGATCTCTTCATAAAAAAAGGTGTATATAAGAAAAGAAAAAAAATTAAATAAAAAGCAAATCCTTATAATTAGAAAAATAACAGAAAAACTATATACATTAATTATCAAACAATAAAAACAAAATAAGATTTTACTCACAATTTACGCTCATCTGAGATACAAAGTGTTTTTTTTTGTTTTTTTAAAGCCCATTTGTAAGTATGTCGGGTTCGAATGCAGGGCCGCTGGATTCGAACTCGGGACCTTCACCTTACAGTGATGAGCGCCGTGTCAACGCCTAAACCGTTGCGGCCAAGGACGCCCCCTAAAGTATTAATTTTTAAATTTAGGAGAAACAAGAAAGTAATTGCCAGTTCACGAGGTCGACCAAAAAGAGAAGAGAGGAAATCTTTTTTTTTCTCCCGAGAGGTTTCAAAAAACTATCCATCTTTTTGAGGCGCCCTTTTTCAGGCTGGCGCACCTTTCAAAAACTCTCAAATATATACTATACATGTTGTAAATACTCTCCCCGTTACAAAAAAAAAATCATTTACTATCTAATGATTATTGCTATATACATTGATTACCTTGCCATGTTGGAGGAACACCACAATTAATTAATAAAGCAAAAATAGATAGCTTGAGCTTTTAGACAGTTTAATCAAGAGTTGGCCTGAATTGCAGGGAACAGAAAAATCGGATGAATTTATCAAAACCATGTCCACTGTGGTTGACAAAAAACTGCCCATCTTTTTCTGGCGCCCTCTTTCAGGCTGGCGCACCTTTCAAAAAAAACTCTCCAATGTACACTATGTTATATATTTTAATAACATTCTGTGAGCAGAATAGATCAGAAAATGGTCAAAACTTGGATTTTGTCCTCATTTTCGTGATTCTAGCGTTACCCTTAGATACCGACTTTCGCGGAAATCCGTGTAAATTACTTTTTGGACTGATAATTTCGACCACCTTCTACGTGACTGGCACTCCTAATGAGATCTACAACATTTTTCTTAATACCTAGGAGACCGATTTTAATGGTTGATAAATCGTTTTAAAGAAATGGTCATGTGAATTTTATTGGTTATCAAACATTAAAATCGCACTCATATTTCCATTTAAAATACGAGGTTTATTTCTGACAAAAATATTTTCTTATTTAAGTATTTTCTTATAGATGTCCTTTATATATTTTAATGTTATATACGTCATTAAAAAGCTACGTTATCTTTTTTTAAATGTTCTGTTTGAGTTTAAAATCCTTTGAATTATAGCCGTTTCAATCAGATATTCTGAGAACTACTCAAAAATCGGAAAAAAATTTAGGAATAAAAAAATCGATAAATTTAAATTCAAACAAAAATTTAAGAAACGAAATTTCACATTGGTTTGACGAAAAAAATTATGATCTATTTTACTTGAAAAATACTTGGTATTTAGAAAAATTTTGTTATTGATAAATTAATCCATTTAAGTTTAGTGGTCTAATTGACCATATTAATTATTTCAACTAACTATTATTTTTATTGTTATTAATAAACTGATAGCTTGTAGTATATTTTTATTGCAATCTACATAAAAAATGCTATAAAATGATCTATTCACAAAGTTGATATGAATAAGTCGAACGGCGAAATGAAAATATTTTTTAAAAAACCGGAAAGTTTAAACTTTCAAAAAAATATTTGACGAAATCAGGGCCTATTCACAAGAAGGGCGGATCCGTGTCCGATATTTTGGAATGTAGAATCATAAAAAAAAAGTTTGGTATAAATCCGCAACACACCAACACAAACTCTTGTCAGTTGTTTGTCTCAACGCTCCCATTTTATCTTGTTTCTTCTATAATAACGACATTTAACTTCTTTTTGTTATATTAAATTTCTACTCTTTGCTGATGATCTTAAACTATTTAAGGCCATTAAATCAAGATCATAATTCAGGGCAACCTTAATTCTGTTCACACATGGACCTCTTTCAATAATCTTTCGCTTAATATTTCTAAATGTTCTCACATTTCCTTTTCTAGAATTAACAGATAATTGACTTAACCTTCATCACTCTATTAATAATGAAAGTTTTACTAAAGTTGATATAATTATCCTTCAGTCCTATAATCAATTGTCCTTCAGATATATATCTAATATTTGAACTAAAATCACTAGGGTTTTTAAGTCTCTATTGTAAATCTTTTAAAAATCTAGAAATATTGAAACCTTTACCTTTTTTTGTTCGATTAATACTTGAATTTTATTCTATTGTCTGGTCTCCCCACTACTCCTCTCAAATCAACAGGTTTAACTTCGCTTTCTTATGTAAAGTTTTGAAATGAATGTCTTTCTATCATAATTTTGATTGTAACTATGATCTTATAATGTCTATTCTGAACATTGATACTCTACACTCTAGAGGCAAGAAGAACTACGTTTGATTTTGTTTTCTCTACAAATTATTAAATAACTTGATCTCAAGTCCTGAACTTACTTTCCTATATAAGGTTCAATTTCCCTAAATAAAAAACTCGTATTTTATCATTATTCAATGTCCTTGACTGCTCCGTTAACTACCAGTTCCACTCTCCCACTAATAGAATTCAGCGAACAGGACATATACTGTGTAGATTTATTTAATGATAGCCTTACATTAATAATTAATTAGTTAAATTAAAATGTTTAAAATATTTTTAAAAAGTTGTGTAATATTGTAAATTAATTTTCTCCCTTTATACGTTTTATGTAATATTATGTTCGTGTATATATTTTGTTTCCGATATTTTAATTATTTTATATAGGTTTTTGTAAATTAGGTTAACAGCCTGTATATGTAAATAAATATATGTTAGACAATGTAAGAAGCTCAAAGTAATGAATAGATTTTCGTTAAAATAAATATCGGGAGATAAAATTTTTGCGTGTAGATGTAGTGTGAAGACAGTAAACGAAAGAGACCAACAGAAACCAAGAGAAAAATAGGTTAACGACTAAAACTCTATGTAACGACTGTTACTGACTAACTATATGAAAGACTCCATACGACCATGCTCGTCGTGACAAATGGAAACGCACAAATAATTTCAACGAAGAAAATGTTTAAAATGAAATAATACCAAAGCTTATTTTCAACTGCGTATAATTAACAACTGAACGAGTCAAGGTGGAATGATGCTCTTCCTTCTTGAACTCCGATTCTCGACATGGTGTCAATTCAATTCTTCAATTTGAAGAATCTTGAATTAACATTCTAAAAAAAGAAGAAAGCTCCAACCGCCTATTCTTCTTTGTCGTCCTCGTCGTCGTCATAGTCATCGAAATCATATTCTAAGTTGAATTCGTCCTCGTTCGTTTCTTCGACGACGACATCGTCGTCATCGTCATCATCTAAATCGTAGTCATACCAACCGGGTTTCAAAGTTCGAAAGACCGACACCGTGCGAGAACGCCTCTTGTTTTTACTCTTGTTGGTAGTATCTTTGCCAATGTACGCATTGTCAAAGCTGTCATAAAACGAGTCTCGTTCAGAGCTTCCGCTCGAGAACGTACTGGAAGAAAGTGTTCGAGCGTCCTCATCCACCCCGAGGTGAGTACCGCACGGCTGTGACTTTAAGCGGAAGATGGGGCACTTCTTCCCGTGCACCGAGCATCTTTTGTTCAATTGGATGTGAGCCGAGTAAGGAAACGGGATGGTCTCGTGGGCTGCGGCAGTGTTGGTTACGAACCGGAAATCTTTCAGCATCTGTTTCTTCATATCGACGAGTTTCCTGATGGTGTCGTCGGACATTTGGACGGTCGAGCCGAGGTTGATTGTCGACGAGAGGGCCAGCTTCCCTTTGAGGAGAGCTTTCACCTGTGACTGCGTTATATTGTCGTTCACGTAAGGGATGAGCTCTTCGTCCGAACCCTCCAAGAAGTACCTGACGAGGCAGTCCGACCCTTGGTCCACGAATCGGTTGATCTCAAAGACGAAATACACGGAGAAAGTGGACTGGACCACTGGGTAAGAAATCCGTGCCGCGCCGTAGCATATCTCGAAGACTTGGAAGGAAAGGTGTCTTTACATGAAAAATTAGAATCAAATGTAAATAAATAAGTCCATGACTTGGTTTTCCCTAGCAACATTTGATGGGTTAATAGTTCATGTCACAAGCCAACAGATGCCGGCGAAATCTCCATTCTGACAAAAAATGGACATCATTTTTGCATTGTTCCCTTAGTTTCGTATAATTCAAAGATACCTACCAACAGAGTATTTTAAACCGCTCAAAAATGAATAGGGATATTTGTAATTTATTCTTATTCTACTAATTTTAATTAAATTTAACCGATATATTCTTGTTTGTTGGATGAAACCAAATAGAAAATACAAACCTAGTCTTCATGTCGAGAGACGTGGTTGTAGAAATCCTTCAACCTGATGATGAGCTAAACGGCTCGAAATCCGGATCGTTGCAAAACAATTTACGTGAGTAGGAATTACAAGATGTTTTGGAAAGGCCTTTATCAATACAAAACGATTCTTAATCATTTGTGGGATGTTGGCCTCACATCCTATGCCCCTTCGTGACGACCTGCAGCAACATCCCTCCACCAGCAACTCAGGAGAATATGTTGCAACGAGCACCTAGAAGATAATACCAATTGGAATGCTGTTATGTTTACTGATGAATCGCGTTTCTGTTTGTATATTTGATAGCAGGCGCCGAAGAATCTACCGAGAACTGGGGATGGGTACTATGCCTGGCTTGGATTTACACTGGAGGACGAACTGGACTATATATTGTGGAAGGCAACCTCTTGAGCACATGTGGGATGCCTCGCAGAGAAGGCTTTTCGATCACCATCCGCAGACGGTTGACCTGCAACAACTGAGTGCAGCATTGCAACGTCTATGGAATGAAATTAGTTACCACTAACAGTTCACCTAACAGGTGCACAGAGGTTTTAGCTAACAGAGGACATTATACACGGTATTAATTGTTCAAAAAATTATTGTGTCCAATAAACAAAATTATGGAATTAAACCTTTTTATTTTGCTATTTTTCAGAATCCCTTAATAAAATTTTCCTTGTAAAAACAATAATTTCTAATAAATTTTAATGCAATTGATTTATTTTTATTTATTTATTTTTTTTAAATTATTTTATTTAACTCTTGTGTACATTGTTTTGCTAATAAATACTGATATACAGCACACTCAAAAAGCGTGATTAACATGGCATTTGAGGGTGAAAATGCAATTTATAATAAAAATAAAATAAAAATGCTAGGTAAAGTAAATACTACAAAATTGGCAATATACCTATTCATTTGTGAGCAGTTTATTACGAAATGTACACTGTTTTGTAAAACTTCTTAATAATAAAACGTGAGACAGAATACAAAGTAAATACAAATGCTGTGATTGCCGGATTTTAGGATTGAGGTGGAAGTTTTTATAAAAGAGTATAAATTTATGAAAATTATTGTACATAATAAATTACTACATCACCTTCTAGTTTAAATAAACTTATTTTTCTTAAAAACGATACAAACAGATAAAAACTCAGGTGAAGTTGGTTTTGGTCTCTACTGACCGATATACATACAGTTACAGAAACTACAAATTCACCTTGCAGACAACGTTTATGTTTAATTGTTACCTTCTGTTTGCTATTTTTGAAAGCAAAATACCTCATCTAGTTTGACATGTAATTTACTTGTGATGAAGATTGTGATTTATTCTTGAGGTCTGCGGTTGATGAACCTTTAGGTTGGTCGTTGGCGATCAACCTCGTCCGGCTATTCTCGGTATATTCGTTTATTAGACGCATTTCGCCATCTTCAGTGGTTGTTGTTATTCACTTACGTCATTCGTGTCCTTTTATAAGTGTTTACTGACAATCACCTTTCCATTGAGGATAGACACATCAGGTTAATCGGAAACATTCAAACTACGTAACTAATGCTCCCGTCTGTCCTCAAGCCATTAACACGACGTATCAAACAGAACATAAAATTCTGGCTAAGACCACACGGGCAGAGCACACACCACCGTATATAAAATCACACAGACCGAACACTGAAGATGACGAAATGCGAAACGCTTCTGGTAATAAACTAGAAGATAGGCGGATCAAGGGTGAGAGCAAAAGACCAACTAATGTGCAGGTAGTTGAATTTTATATTATTCACTTCTGCACTATAACACAGCTCTTCGATTTCTTAAATGTGCATTTTACTGTTGCAGTAGGGTGTTGCGGGTGGTTAGATTTAAATTGAACATACTTGGAAACAATAATTTCTTTCAGGTGCCTCGTCGAGTGCGGCCAGTTACTAAGCCAGGGGTACGTGTACTTCATGAAAGCGTCGATTTTTGGTAAAGCGGCGAATATGTTGAATTCGGCCACCGTCGGCCAGCTGTCGTCATGAAGCAGCAGAGTGGATTGGCACGATTTGAATCTGATTTCCTCGTTGAAGCACATTTCTGCGAATGCCATAGTCTTGTTGACCACGTTCGACGCTGCCTGGTGTGCATCGCGGCACGTTTTGACGTCGTTGTACCCTTCCAAAAAGCTGTACTTGCCCATTAGTTTACTTTGAGGAGGAATCGAGACCATCTTCAATAAATTTTCAATGATAATTTTTTTTTAAGGCAACTATATCAATAATAATCTTTTACGATAACTATGTTTACTAGTTATAAGCAAAAACTTTACTGAAAAATCATTAATTATAATATTTAAATAGTGCAAGCATATGTTTTATTTTGTAAAGTATTGTCCAAGTTTTCAAATCAATATGGCTGTTAAAATAATGATAAAATCAACTTAATTGGGAAATTGTATAGCGTAATAAGATTAGGTCACCAATAAATAACGCAGTAGCATCCAGCAACAGTATGAAGACATCTGAACAGTATGAAGACTATCCAGACAGTCCAATATCCAACCCGCTCTCTATCGCCTCTTTCACCAACCTGAAATTCTTGATACGCCATCTCCCCAAACTTCCTTGCTCTTTTTTCCCTAAATCAATCTTTTGAAACAAACGAAAAAATTGTGAGAAAGATTCATAATTACATTCCTTGTAAAGAAGAACTATTTTTCTTAATTAACAAGTCAGCTATTTACTGTCCTGTTGATGTGGTTTAGTCACATAGCAATATCAGTACAATAAGATAGGGCAAATAACGACAACTTTAATATTATTTGACAAACTACCATATATTTTGATAAAACAGATTGTAATAAACATAACAGAAAAACTTTGCTTATACATAAGCTCAAATAAACAATGTAAATATAATTGTTTACAAAATTTATAATAAACTAAAGAAAAAAGTAAATTATACAGATTACACAGATAAAGTTACAAGGCAATCTCTCAAAATTATTACTTAAGCTAAAACTACCAATTAACTAAAGAGAGATTTACAAATTAAATTGTTACTACAATCTAGTACAAAAAGAATGATGAAAATAATGATGGAAGTTCTTACGGTAATGTAAACAGATAAAAAAAAATATCACGGTAGATGATAGTTTTACTTATAAAGGTTTACTCCGATGTAAAAGAGAATGGTGTCGTTGATGGCAATGTCGACAGGAGTTTTTGGAGAAACAATTTTTGCTAGAATGTCCAGCTGAAAGACAATTCAAGCATCGCTTCAAGTACTTTGCTTTTTTGAATCGCTGAAGGGGTTCCATGTCAAGGAAGGTGGGACAATCCATAAGTCTATGTTCATGTCTGCATATTGGACAACATTTAAATTCCCTTGAATTATTCAGAGAATTTTTTCCTTCCACGTCAGATGTTGAATGTTTGCCAAACATTAGATCGTTCATTTGTAGTCGCATCAAATGTCGATGTACAAAGTTTGAAAGGTCGGTGATGTTTGGCAATGCTTCTGTACTGTCAAACTCAGTCTCAAAACATAAACGAAGAGAGGGTTCCATTAGCTGCAGCGCAAATGTACACAAAATGAAAGATACAGGATCGTCCAATTTCAGATTAATGAAATTGTGGACATTTGGTAGAAAAACTGAAGAAAATTCTTCCAGTGATGTCAGCGTTTCATTCATTGGTTTATGTTTAAATATTTTCATCAAGATATTGTTGCCTTGAATACGCTTGTTGTCATAACGTTTAACTAAAGTTTCCCAAGCTAGAGAATATCCTGCTGCTGTTATCCCTATATAAGATATAAATTCGGCAGCTTCGCCCTTCAAAACCGATGTCAAATAAAGGAATTTACGTACAGGATCCAATTCAGGATTCGTATGAATTAGCGTTTCAAAAGTGTCTTTAAAATAGGGCCAAATTGCCATATCCCCGTCAAAATGTGGGAACTCCAACTTGGGCAATATGCTTGAAGAAATTCCAGAATTATTCGATCTACTTGACTTTATACTGTGTTTGGCTTCATCTGTCCGACAAGGTATGTTCAGTGCTAAAGTATCGTAATACATATTTCGGTATTTTTCAACCATATCCGTATAATCATCAAGGCCACGAGAAAGTTTGCCAGCCAACAGTTTTGCTTCTGAAACTCGTGATTCAAATTTATCGAATATATCATCCAAACGTGAAAGACGGGTCTTGAAGATAGGTACCAACAACATGTCCGTAGAAGCCGAAATTCCTAGTGTATTAGCTGACATAATATCCGATGCTAGGTCTTGTATTTCCGTGTCTAGCTCGAGCAGTCGGATGGTCGTTTCTTCGTCCTCAGGCATGGCGCTATGAAACTAGAAGACTTCGCAGGGCAACAAACAAGTACGATAAAACAATTAATAATAGTTTGAAAGGTCAATAGCAGACCAGAAGGAACAATTAAATAGTCAGATTTGTTTTCCAATTGAAAATTAAACTACTTACTCTGTCAATATGATTCAGACACAGCAATGTCAGCAAATAACATAAATGTTATGTGAGATAAAACAATGTACATAAAAACTCTGTTTTGTATAAACTCAAATAAACAATGTAAAATCAATGTTGTTAACAAAAGTGATTAATTATAAACTAAAGAAAGAAAGGTTAAAAAGCTCTTACAAATAGTATTAGTGAAAATTAATAATTAATTACACAACAAATGAAAATATCGCTTATAAAGTAAATGTATGTACATATTATGAAAATACTTACAAACTAAAAGGAGATCGTACAAAATAAAGGGGAACAATTATGAAAATAACGGCGAAATGAAATCAAAGTTTTATCATTACGAAAACAAACAGTTTGGTTCAAACTTTGAAAGAGAAACCTAAGAAACAATCAAGTGATATGACAATTTTAACTACTAAAACTAGTAAGTTGGTGGTCTTAAGGCAGAAATACGTTTGTCTTAACACGTTAATACTTAATTGGTTAAAAAGCAAGAAATTACCTCGTTGAAAGAGGGTTAAAATGTTTACATAATACAAAGTCCAAATTCCAAGTCCAGTCGAGTAATTCTTCTTCCGCTGTCGTCTGTACCGCCTTTTTCCACGATTTCCGCCACTCTTTAAATCCACATTCCACCCTCTTCCACAAAAAAGCTCCATCGGAAAACAACATAATATGAAATCATATTATGAAATACTAGCTTTTACCCGTGACTTCGTCCATGCGGGACTCTGTTTTAATGTACCTTTCTAATGTACCTACTACCTAGTATGGCTTTATGATATAATGCCTTGTACTCAAATTCTGAGACTTAAGTCACTTCACACTACACTCGGTAAAAAATTGTCCATTTGATCCCCTTAGGGATGGAATTTCAAGAAATCCTTTCTTAGAGGCTATTCACGTTCCACAGGAATGAACTGTCAAAATTTCAGCCCTTTCGATCCAGCGGTTTGGTCTATGCGTTGTCTGTCAGTTGGTCAAGTCGAACTCACGACGAATATAGTTTTATATATATAGATAAACATGAAGTTTTAAACTTTCTCTGTTGTCTTTTTTCTGATTCTGTTTGACTATACAGTGTGCGCACATTGTCTTACAGTCCTTGCCATTGTAGGCAGCTAATTACAAACAAATAGAGAACAAAAAGTTGAAATGAATGATGTCATTAAGTTGTATAAAGAATTGTTGGGTATTTCAAGAAATAGTTTTAGGCCCAATGTTTATTTATTTAATTTTAGGGCCGGCAAACTACATTGGTCATCGCCAGCCCTCTCTTCCTTAGCTTTCCATTTCTTCTCTTATCTTTCTCGCATTTTAATCCTACTAATTTCTTTTTCTGTTTTTTCCAGCTAAGTTACAATATTGTATGGTGCAATCGTAACTAACTCTCTTTTTTCTTTGTCCTATTGCTAGTCCCTCTGTATCTCAGGGCCTCATTAATTATGGATAAAATAACATAAATAACCAACACAAATACACAGAAACAAGAAAAAACATGATAGTCTGGTTAGCATTTATACTACCCATATTCCTCAGGGTAATTGGGGATATGCCCTTCCATTCACGCTAAAAGCCCATCCCATATCTCAACATATGAAATATAAATATGAAGTTTTGAACTTTCTCTGTTTGATCGATTGACTGATTTCTGATTCTGTTTCTGTTTGACTATACAGCGTGCTCACATTGTCAGTAGTCGCCTTCATAGGCAGCTAATTCCAAACAAATAGAGAACAAAAAGTTGAAATAAATGATGTCATTAAGTTGCATAAAGAATTATGGGGTACTCCAAGGAACAGTTTTAGGCCCATTGTTGTTTCTGATTTATATTAATAACATATTTTCTATAAATGTTACAATAAAATAACTTATTTTGCACGTGACACATTTATTTATTAAAAAGTACGAATAGGGCTTTAAATCCCCCTTATACGTACATATTTTAGAAATAAATTTAACTTTATAGCCAGTAAAATAATAATACTAATAATAATATTTTTTAAATTTAATTTTCTTATTAAAACTGGTCTTGTCAGTCCGACCATTAATTTTACAAGGATATATAGAATAAACATATCATAAATGTTTGCATTCTAATAAAGCCATTAGTCAATAAGATTTACACTTTACAAATCACAAAAAATTTTTTTACTACACAAGTTCAAATGGCTTGGTTCTTTCTAAACTTCTGATGGTGTTTCAATTATGTAGGAGTTTGGTTGCTTCCACATTTTCGTGCTGTCTGAAGCAAGCCTGCTGTTTGGCAATCTTTGTACTTTTACTATGATCTCAGGGATCTTAAGATCAATATGTAAGTCTTTATTCCTTACATACCAAGGTGTATTGACCATTTTACATAAGATTTCATTGTTTGTATAATTCGATATTGCTGTGTTTGGTGCAACCTCATTGTTGAATACTTAAGAATTGAATACTTGAAGCTTTAGGACTTGTTTGTATAATAATATTTTATTTTGTTTAGTAAGGTCTGTACCTACAGAAGTTGTAAATATAGTAGTCTATACCTTAAAACTATTTCTGTCCTTTTTTTGGTCATATGCTCTTTCCATCTCAGCTTGGCATCTGTCATTCCTAGATATTTAGCCGGATCACTAGGTACAATAGTTCCATCTATTTTAAAAATTTGTAAGTACTGATTTATGCTGATTGAGCTTGATTCTCCGTTTTTTTTTGTCCATTTGTTTATCATATTATCAGCCTTTTGAAGAATTTTCGTTGAATGGCTGATGGTCAGTCCTTCCGGGAAAATCGCTGGTGTACAACAAGTAAAGTAGTGGACCTAATCTGCTACCTTGTTGCACTCCTGCATTTATTTTTTTAATTCTGAATATTGGTCTTCTTGTTTGACTCTAAAATGTCTGTCAGTTAGGTAGAAACTGATATCTACATACTGCTTTGGTAGCATTCCCTTTTAATTTACTGAATAATAATAATAAAATATAAAAAAAACAATAATTTATCATTAAAATATAATACTTTTATAATAGAATGATGAAACCACATTATGAAAGAAAAACAGAAAGAGAAAAAAGGTAAGAGGAAATGGGAAAAAGAAAAAGAAGAGGGAAGAAAAGGAGATGATGGCAATTGTTGGAGTCAGATGCCCTAAACATTCGGCCATTGTGGGATATTAATATAATGGATAATACATTATTATTAATATAAGTACTATTAAAATTAATAAAGATGTTAATAGTATGATATTAAATATTGATAAATGCTGTTTTGTCCACTTCCACAGGAAGACAATTCCTACGGTGTAAGATTTTTCTTGATTTTAATTTGCTCTTAGAGTCAATTGTAAATTTCTTTGAATCATAATAAACTAAAAACAGATATCAGTAATTTTAGTTTGATAAAAACTTTGTAGTGTATAACTCATTCCCTGTGTTATCAAAAATACATTAACAGAATATAATGTACGTTGCATTTTTTTTTAATTTTTTTAGTTTTCCAGCCATTATTAATAAATAAAAATACACAACACATAAATTATATTTTAGATAATTAAACCAGCTAAAAAAATAAATAAAAAGTTTATTAACTGAATAGAAAGAATAAGTTCCTCAAATATGGGGTATTCAAAACTTGGGTTACAACTGGAGGGTGTTTTCTACAAGAAATTTCGGTTGGTAACAAATAGAAGAATAGCCTCTGATATTGTAGTGTTATTTAAACTTTTTAACCAGTTCATTTATTGCTCAGATCATTAGAAAAAAATCAATATAAATGTATCTGAAATACCAATTTATTTTGTGTACCAATGTGTCAAACCTACTAATGCGTAGGGAAGCAAATGTAAAAACAGATTTACTTTAATATTCCTTTAGCACGTCTATGTCATAAATATTATATCAAATTTGATTGATATAATGCTTTATAAAAATTTGCTAGTTTTATTGAAATGAAAAAATTGGCTGATTTGTTAATTAGAAAACAGAAGGAGTATTGGTTCATACCATAACTATCTAAAAACATGTGATACGAATTTCCAATGTTTCTATTCTAAATGTAAAATTGATGGCTTAAAAATTGAGTTTTAATTAATTTGATTGCTAAAACAAAAAACCACTATACTACGTGTACAGGCCATAAGTTTGCAATTAACATCTATTATCAAAATTATCAAATTGTATTTAAAAGTGGAGGCTGAACATTAGAAAGTTTGTTCAATTTATATACGAAAAATGGAAGATATGAGGAAGAATATTCTAAGTTTCAAACCAGGAAGATCAGTTTGTAAGTAGACAAAATGCTTGAAATGTAGAAACATTATTATAGATTTGCCTGTGTTAATATATTATTATTATTATTATTCAAGTTCAATCACCGAGCCGGAACAGAAATGATGCTCTACAAGAGTTGCTACTTACAATGCAAAGCTCTGAGGCGACTGATATGAACATGCTGAAAGATTTACAATGCTCAGTCGAATATGTATGAAATTAATACAAACCAGTGTTGCAAAAATAAATTGAATTAATATTTAGCAGAGAAAAGAACACAACCAGTTTAGCAAACAGTTGGCCGAACTTGGCAATCTTCATGAAGGGATTAAATTGAAGATGGCAAAACTTCAAAAATGCCTCGTAGTTCAGGCTGTGGAATCGGTCATCTACGAAAAGCTCAATGCATTTCATATGGCAATCGCCGAAGTGAATAATTGGGTAGGCATAATTTTGGACGAATGATTTTACCACAAAATTTGGTTCAGAAGTTCTGTGAAAAAATTTACTTAGGACATCATTACAACTTTGTCAATAGATTGACACAATAAGATCAGTGAATTTGTCTGTAAAAGACAATTATATAAGATTAAAAATTAATTGTTAGTACATTGACTTGGTTAATATTTTTCAGTTTTTTTTTCTAAACTAAAATTGTTAAAATCAACATAAATGTTTTGGACATCCACAAAGACCTTCAAGATAATGAAGTTCAAAATGTTCACCCGTTTTATATTAAGCAAGCAGTTTAAATAAATATCAAATTCCAGCAAGAAGATATCAGGTGTCATACTTCTGTAAGACGGATTCTCCCTTGGGCCAGGGACTCGATGATGCGGTTACATTTTCTTTCTAAATTCTTGGACGATGCACGGAATGAAAAAGGTGGCGCTATTCTCAATCCAATCCTTGTCTATCTTCCTCATGGTAACAATAAAATCCACGAGTTGTTCCTCGAACTATTCAACAAGGTAGGAAATCAGAACCACAACTGGAACGTAAAATTATTTTCAATTTCCATCTTGTAGGCTGCAATCCCAATGATACAAATGATATGGCACTGGGTGGTCAGGGGAGCCTTAAATGACCCTTACGACGAGTTTTTTGTTCAGTACAATTCAGACTGCACTATGGACGAATGGCATGAACAATTTGTTTTAAGGTAAATTTTATTGTTCTATGATGTAATCAAATCATCTTCACATCAAAATTGTTTTTAAATCAAAAGTCCGATTATTGTTTATTTATTAAATATTATTAAATAAAAATGAATATCCATATTGATTAAATCAAGGAATCTAGGAATATTAGTTATATGAAATTGCTGGATCCTAATTCCATCATCCAGAAATATAAATTATAAGTTCAATCATTATGTAATTTCATTAATTATTAAACAATTTTATTACTTTTGTCATGAATTTCAATTATTGGACACACAAAACTGGCTAATGTTTTAAAGAGTGTATATTTTATACAGAAAAGACTTCCTTCCTAGTGTAATCAATAGCTCACTTGGAAAACTAATAACAGCTACAGGGAAAGTTATGAACTTCTTAAACAAATACTACCCCGAAAAATGCTCTGAAATAATCGAGAAAAGAAAGAACTTATACGACTTTCAAGGTAGATTCTAAAGATGAAAAAGTGATTGTTACAATAAATGTGAAATTCTTTTTAGAGTTCAGTTTTCCCCTCTTGGTGAATAAAGAAGATGAGTTTCAGCATTACATAAAAGATATTTACACTGAAAACTCATCAATTTTTCTAAAAATGTTGGAAGAAAAATATATGCTAAGTTCTTTCTTCAAGAACATCCATGATTTTTTCTTCCTCAGTCAGGGGCACTTTGCAAGGCACTTCATGATAAGCATGTAGTAAGAGTATGTGTTTAATGTAAAAAACAAAGCAAATTCCATTACAAATAATTTATTGATTTTTCTTTAAGCTCTGAATACAGCAAATCGGTGAATGACGTGTCCCTCAATCATCTCAATTCGCTGCTGGCTTCCGCGATCGGTGAGATGATGACCATGAAATCCAGTGACAGGATATTCAACGAAGTCATCGTCCATTTAAACACCCCCACTGAGAAGGACACTGTCGCCGACGTTTTCACTCTCAAGTATCAAATGTCACCTCCATTGAACCAAGTTGGTAAAAATAATGTACCGACGTTCCTCTATAATCAGTACATTTTCCCCCCCAGATGTTTGAAACGTTCGAGATATCCTACAGAAAGATTTTTAGGTTTTTATGGAGCAAAAACCATGTTTCTTACTTACTGAGTAATTGTTGGAGGTCACTAAGGGGTTTGCTACGAACAAAAAATCTCACTGAAGGTAATTTTGCGAAACAAAAAATATTAATGCACATCATATGAGTTAGATTTATATCATATGATAAAATTAAACATAAAATTAAACTTTTGCAAACATATTCCTGTAATTTAGTAGTCAAAAATACCAAAATTTTATTTGATTTTTTTTTTAAATCTAGAGTTAGAAAAGTTATTATTAGAAAAATAAAGTAATAAAAAATATAATTGGTACAACTATTGCATATTGTTTCACAAACAACATTTATGAATCTGTGTTTTATCTAATAATTTTAAAAAAATATCATAAAACCAAAAATAGTAAACTAATTCTTAGTTTAATATAACCGAAACAAAAAATAATAGAGTAAAACTAAAAAGAAAATGTTCAAATTGTAAGTTGATCTGGTGTGCGTGCTTAGATGCACATCTTATTTGAGGATTGTTTTTTCAGATCTCTCATACAATCTGAAACGGGTGTACTTGTTCAACAACCAGCTAATGCAATTCACGTACCAACTCGACTTCTATATGATTTATGAGATAGTCGACAGATGGTGGCAAACGTTCATGTTATGCTACAAGGAGAGCAACGACATTGAAGAGGTGTTGTGCTCGCATGCAAAAATGCTCTCATCAATTTTAACAGGCACATTACAAAAGAAACACCAAGCTGTAAATTAATTTTGTAAACTGTGCAATAAATTCTATATAAGACACTTTAATTTTTGTTTTTTAAGGAGGTCAGCATCCAGCTGCGGCACATTGTAATCTTAATATCAGAAATAGAAGAATTAATAACAAATATTTACTACTTCATCAACAACCAAAATTTTTCCTTTGAAGACTCCTCTTTAATATTTTCTGCCAAAGTTGATGTTTTACTTAACACTGCTGAGGTATGCTTATACATTTGTTTATTAATATCATGGTATTTATGTTTATAATGTTAATTTTACCTTGTTTCAGACTGCTGTGAATAAATTCAGCTCTTTCCTCAAGAGTTGCAGGCACATCCATGGTTTATTGGCAGTTTACGAAAGAATTAATTTTAATGACTATTACAAACGGGACAACGATAAAACAGAAAAGCCACTCCCAAAGCCGACAAACGTGTATACAATAAAGGAAAGCACAAGTGGTTGAAAGAAATCAAAATGATAATAAATTATACAAAAATGGAATTTGTTTACTGATTAAATAAAATGTTTGTAGAAATGCTGAAGGTGTGGTGAGTATGTAGATTCACTTTTTGTAAATGATGGTTCTACTAAGATTTGTTGTTTACAATGATCTGGATTTCAAAGATTAAATGCTCAAGAGCACAACCTATAGATGGCCACTAAGCTGAGCCAGAAAGAAGAAATTGTCCTTACCTGATTAAGAATAGGTCCATATCTGGTTGACACACAGACACCTGTTCTCAGTCCAAAGCCTACACAGGTATCCCTTATGCAGAGAAAGGCTGCTCGATGTGTCCCACATAACAGAAGCCTTGGCTCCTTATAGAGAGCATGTAGGCATGCCTTTTAAGAACGGTCCTCAGGCACATTGGCGAGTTTCTGTCACATGTTCTGCTTTTTAGAGGACATGGATTTTTTATTGTATATAGATCTATTTTGTGTTTTTGTTTTGTCTAAGTGTGTGTATTTATTAGTATGTATGGTGAGGGGCCTATGGTGAAACATAGAATCACTGTCATCCCTCTAACAGTGTGTGGGTTTAAGGTCAATGGTAATATTTATGAAAATACTCCATCAACCTTAATTTAGATTTAGATTATTAATATTGTGTGCAGGTTGATGGAACAATATTAAAAATTAGAGTAAAGTAGTCCACCAACTAACCAGAATGAGTGCAATGTACAAGGATGTGAATGTATTTATTTGTGCAATTGTATTATAGATGGTAGTTTTAGGCAGAGCGGTAAGAGGTCAATACAGTAAAAAAAAGCCTCAAGCAAAAATAAAGAAAAAATCACAACAGGTAGTTTTAGGCAGAATATATTTTGCATTCGTTAAGGGCTGAAATAACCTAACTGTTGAAAGCCTCTGGAGCCTAACCTCGTTGGTTCTCATGATCTCCTGGGCATCTTGGCTTAAAGGGCGTACCAACAACCTAGTAGCACATGGGGGGTAGGTGAACTCCCCTGAGGTATAGATCCTAGGGTCAGCACATTGGGGAATGACAACCCTTTAGGGTGAAAGTCCGAATTGCCTGTTCTTTCATTTACCAGAATAACATATGTTAAAATAAGGATTGATATGACCGAGTAAGAACAACATAACTTGAAATTTATAATGAAGTTATATTAGGTCCTAAGTTGCAACATATAATGCATGAAGATGAGCCAACCACTTTATATACATATATATACAGCTGGGGCTCGCAACACAAGTGTGAATTTGAGACCCCGGTGTTCTTCCATCAAAGAAACTCATTTTTGAAGGGGGTTGGGATCAAATTCAGGGTCGCTGAAATCTGATCCTGCTCCTTCCATGGATGAGTGCCGTGTCAATTTCTTTCAATTATGGCCACCGGTCCCCTTAGGCATCAGAAAAAGTCCAGAGGCGATGGTGGGGATCGAACCCACGACCGCGGGATCTACTAGCTGAGAGTCTGACGCCTTAACCATTCGGCTACCGTGCCACCCCCTCAACCACTTATATAACTGGAATATTAGTGCCTTAACATCCTCCTTTTAACGTCTCCTTTGCCAACTTGGAATTCATATTGGATACACCATCTCCCGCTTTCCACATACGTTTTACCCTCAATTAATTTTTTTCTAACAGCTTTGCAATTTATATAAATGAATTATGACGGGATTATAAAAGAACTGTTTTTTTCAATGTTTAATTTTTTTCATTAAATATGATTACAAATTATACAAAAATGAAAGTTTATACAAGTTATAAAACGACATTGTGCACTAAATTGCTTAATTTTCTTGTGGAATACAGAGTTGAGAATTTGTTTAAGAAAATTTATGAAAAATTCTCCCTGGATGTTTGAAACAAGTAGAATATATTCAACTAGAAACTATTTTTATTAATTGACAGGTTTTTTAATGTTTAATATAAGAAAGGTTGATATTAAATTAACACCGGGATACTAATTACAATGTTTTTCAGGTATTTGTAAAAAAATGATAAAAGTGAACTATGAGACATACAACACAATAAGTTAAAAGATTATTAATTTATTCTTTAGAAGAACTGTAAATTGAATTTGACAATTAATAAATAATTTTTGCATTTCAAGAAAATACATAAATAAACAACACAAAAGTGATAAATTTAATGTGAATAACAAACAATGTGGCATTTTATGCCCAAAACTTATAGAGTATCAAGTTCAAGCAGAACTAGCCATAGTTAATAAGGTACAAGTGATTTTTAATAAGTTATTACTCTTTTATCAGCATAGCTCTGAGATGATTAAAAGTTTTGTTAAATACAAATAACAATTTTTGTACGCAGATTAATTTTTAATAACTCTAATCTAAAATTAAAAATACGAAACATAACAATCTCTTGAATTTATAAATCTCTTAAAACATATGTGACAACTTAAAATGAGGTAAATATTAGCAAATTTAAAAGTTTACTCAGGTATTAAATAAAGGTACTTAAAAGTTTAGTCTATTATCAACATCAAAATTCTGTTGGTTATGAAAGTCAGTCCAAAAAACAGTCTCAACATTAGTCCTGAATTATTTTAAAGTTAGTCTACAGTATTAAAATTATGTTTAAATAAAATGCAGTCTCTTAAAATGGTTTAGAGTGAACATTTAGAAATTGGACTCCATGGTTCTTGAGAAAATTGTCCCTCCAATCAAGTCTTTGTTTTAGAATAAATAATTAAGCTATTTATAATTACATATTCCTATTAACATACATCAATAAAATTTAGTCTTTATGATTGATTACAAAGTGTTTTTTAAAAACTTTTTTAACTTAGTGACTTCTTTATACCATATATGCTGCTAAAACCACTAAACTTTTACCTCTCCATCAAATGGGAAGTACCCGGCTTTGAAGAAACAATCTTCAACAAATTTCTAAAACAAAATCATTATCAAATAAACATTTAAAAAAATAATATAAATGTTAAGGCAAATAAAACAATAAAAAAAAAAAATGAAATCACTTTTTCAGTTTCTGCTAAAGCATTATGAGCATTTTCCACCCATGTGAACATGTCAGAACTTGACGGGACTTTGATACCCTTCGCTTTCCAACTACACTCGTGCTGCCATTTGAGCCATTGCTTCTCAATTTCATCCTGAAATATAAATTCACGATATTTTCTCTCTCTCTACCTACGGTCTAACAAGAAAAGAGCGACCTTGAATTTCTGGGCTATACCAAACGCAATCGGCTGCAACTTTGGGGAACAGCCCAATGGAATTATTGCGACTTCAAAGCTGTCGTGATGTCGACAAAGCCTGTCCAAGTCTAAGTGAGGCTCATAAATATCACATATCACTGTGGACGACTTTGGGATGTAACTTCAAATTACAATAGATGCATAAAATGTTGCAGTTGAAAATATGATAATTACTGAACTATAATGGTACATACGGGATCATTGAGAAAAACCACTTTTCCATTATTATTTTGTCATTGATTCCATTTTCTTGCACTAAACTGAAGCACAATGTTTTACCTTCTGTATACTCAATTTTAATTGGGCTCTAAAAATGATAAAATAAATTAATGTTATTTAAAAATTACATCTCTTATTAGATAAGAATCTTTGTCCTACCTACAAGTCTATTACAATTAACAAATTTAAAAAAAATTCCATGTCATAAATTATTTAAAGGCAGAAATGTTTAATATCCATATGAACAAACACATATTTTATATGTAATAGGTAAAATGTTTGAACTGATTTTCTTACTTTGGTGATGAGAGTTGTTGGCAGAAATGTTCCATCAGCCCTGCAGCAAATGATCAATGAAGCGTGGGAATTGTCGAAGCCTGATTTCCTCAACAGAGTAACCGATTTTGTCGAACCTGAAAATCTCTCTGTCAGCGTATACCACACTTAGACCTGATAATAAAAATAATAATCACCAGAAGTCATGAAATTCAAAGGGATTTCATCGATGGCAACAATCAAGTCAGCAGGCAGTTTCCTGTCTGCGATGACAGTTGCTATCATGTTTTGGAAGCTAAAGCATTGTCTTTCCAAGATTGCTGGCAGTTCAATGAGAGGACTTGGAAACTGCTGGAGGATCTTCATAAACCTCTTGGAAAACCTCACAGCCCAACTTGGAGAAGGCTTGACACAGTTGTTATAGTTAGCTTTTGTACATACGTTATTTATTTCTATAGTACAATTTACTATAAACAAATTTGCATTTCAATTTCAATATCACAGCTAGTTTTTACTACTGTTAAAATAACAGTAACATTGGGAGAGTAGGAAACATTTAAAAATATTGAAAAGGATAATTTTTTTACACATACCTAATATTAACAGGGTATATGAACTGTAGTTATAAAATAATGAGGAAGATAAAACTGTAAATATTAAGATAAAATATTTAAAATACCTTTAAGCCAGTGTCATTAAGCAATGCCGCTTGGTTCAGCAAGTCAGCATGAAGGACTGTCCTGTTTCGCTCAAACTCGCCCAAAACCCAAATGAGCAGATCTATGTCTTGATTTGTCTTTTCAAGTGTACATGTTACAAGTGAGTAGCGTTTTCTCCATCTATAATACCACCCGGTGCTGCAAGTCATCCCTGTATGGCCAGCAGCATGATACATCTTTAAAGCTGTTTCTCTAATCTAATAAGTCTTCTCAATAAAAAAAGTCAAACGACATCCAGCTAATGTATTAAAGTACCTGGCGGCTGTTTGGTTTTGTCGATTGTTGCTGATACCAAGACCAAATAGCATTGTCTACCTTTTCATCAGTCAAATAATGCTTTGGCTCTCTTTTCACAACTTCAGGCTTCTCTTCTAAAAACATCAGGATCACAAAAAAATAAACCAACTTCTTTCATTTTGACTCTTTGAAGTCATTAAATTAAAGAAGAAAAAAAGTTTTGACAAATTGTTAGTTGTAGTTTACTCTTTTTCAGTTATTTTGGTCAGTCAGATGCTTTTTTCACTAGACAAACTAAAACAGTGAGGATATAGGCAGATCAGAACTGACTAAAGTACAAGTTCATCACTTTGCATACCTCAAAAAGAAATATCAAAATTTTTGGTTGTCAACTCGGATTAGGACAGAATTTTCAACTTTCTAAAATATTCCGTAAATTCTAAAATTCATTAATCTTAATGGGGGTCACTTTTATAAGTTTTAAAGGATTTACAAGATAAGGTGTTTCTAGTATTTCATTCTCTTTTGAATTCCAAATATGTTAAGTTTTGTATTAATGAAAACAATTTGTAGGAAACTTTACTTTTCTGCTTGCTTGAAAAAAATAAAAAATAAAAAAATAATAATGGACATTTCGGAATTGGTGATTTTGACATGGAATTGGATGGCCAGAAACGTTTGAAAATGCAGAACTGCAAGCATTATTGCCAAACACAAGAATAATCTTCGGGGGTGACTCAACAAGCATTTTCATTACACCTCAAAGCCATGGGAAAGGTCCAAAAGGAAGGAAACTGGGTGCCATACTAATTAAAGCCAAAAGACATGGAAAAGAGATTCGACTTGCAAGAAGCTGATCCGAATGCCAAAACGGAAGCATCAATGGCAAAGCCAAACATTCATCGAGCTCATGCTTTTTATTTGGTGGAATAAGCTGGATGTAGTATGCTATAAGCTGCTAAAACCAAATGAAGCCATTGCAAGATAGCTACAGACTACAATTTATTACACGCTAAATTATTTAAAATTTCAAAGAGTGATCTTGCCCTGTCTCACAATTGGGGATTTCCTTGTAGGTTACTTATTTACATAATTAAAATTAAAAAATATTTCATTTACAAATAATAATTGATTTATTTTTTTATTATTTATAAAAAAGATTAAAAATCAAACAAACAACCTTGGGACAATAATAATAATATATAAGGAATATAGTGGAGCTCAGTACCAAGAATTTTTTTACAATTAACCTATATTATTTGTTTTTTGCTGTAATTGTGGTGACTTACCACCTTCTCAACAAAAGCGGCACCTAACGAAATTCCAACAATTACAACTGCCAGAAGGTTCGCCGATGGAATGCGCTACACATTACCAGTTCAATTAAGGATTGTTTTTTTTTTTTTCTGTTGTAATTATAAATTATAAATAAGAAGTAGTTAGTGGTTGGTAACAATGTAAATTAACTGTAATTGTCAGTAGATTGTAAATAGAGAAATAAATGAACTGTACAAAACCTTTTAATAAAGAAAGAAAAACCAGCAATCCAAGGTAGCCACTTCCCGCTCCTCCAAAATCTTACCTCCTAAAATACCTCTGGCTACCAAGGATCAAGAAACACAGTTTTTGTAAAAACTAAAAAAAGCCATTCACTAATTTCTATCCAGCAAGAGAAGGGACTTGTCCATTGGAATGACGTAAGTATTCGGCTCACCCTCGTTTCGTCCAGCCACCTCTTCATTGGCTTGAGATACATTTCGCCTGTGTTTTCACCGGCTCTTCTCAGAGGCACGCTTGAGTTTACTCAAGGAACTAGGGTTTCCACTTTGAAGACTCGAAAGGACCCACGGGTCGTATGAGCTCACAGTCTCCGGGGTACGCAGTACAGTCAGACAGGTGGAAGCTCTGCCTCTCATGCATGCATTTTAGGGCCAAAATCCTCCTCGCCGGCTCTGCCAGAGCCTACCACTTAAGAGTGCCCTTCTTGCCTGCCTGAAAGGGGTCTTGTGCCGTAGAGCTCACGATCATGGGCTTCCCAGTAGGGCAGAACAATTGGGACCTTCCTGTGTACAATACCGGCCCTTGTGAGGGCCCGCAAGGTTCAACGGTGACTCAGAAGGACTCCAACAGGAATATTTACCAGAAATAAAAGGATCTAAGTTAATGGGATATTTATAGTAACGTGAGTTAATAAGGTAATCAAAAGGTTCAAAAAATCTTGCCTCAATTTTGGAAAGTGTATTCACTTTCCTTATTAGCTACAGAAGAAAATAAAAACCAGAAAAGGTGTTGATTGGGATTAAGCAGCCCCCATGGTCATCCTCGAAGAGTCAATTTCCTACTTCTCCAACTTGTCCACCAGAAAAAAAAAATGTTTTTCCTCTCAAATCCTGTATTTACTCCTTCCAAATAAAATTTGTTTCGCAATCAATAACTTACGGCTGTATGAAGTACTTCTGTTCTAAAGACCAATTGTTCTTTCAAAACAGAACTTTTATGTGCCAGAAAACTGGGAAAAAGTAATGTTTAGTGATGAATTCTGTAATAAATTTGTTACAATTTTTGCACATGAAAGTTTCAATTTTCACAAAAAATCCTTTAAAACTTACTTGTATCCCCAATACTTTTAGTAATAATTCTAACTATGTATGCCACAGCATTTTCAGCATTAATATTGAAAAAACAAAGAAAAAATATAAACCTTTTACATGTTATCAATATTAATATACAGCAACTATTTAGAATATGTTTAGCTTTATCTTTTATGCACCGTAAATTTATATTTGTACACAAATTGTTTTTGAATGTATTTTATTTATGATTTTTTAATTATGACTACTGTATTCCTTATTTTTATAATAGTATACCCACAGTTAATATTCGATCAGGTAAAATAGGTTTTCCAAAGTTCTGAAAGCCTTTGTTACATAGTATGTGTTATTTATTAATCTAACCTTTAACGTAACATTCGATCCACTCAGTTATTCTTTTCCTGTCAATCTTGAAAATCATCCCGACTTTCTTTTTTGAGTAATCGTTGCATAGGAGGGCAATCTCCTTTTTGAATTTCCTTGGGTATGTTATGCGGCCTTTTTCAGTCTTGCTCTGCAGTCTAAAAGCATAAGAATTATTTATGATTATAAAATTCACTAATACATTCAAGAGAATTTTTCTTCATTTTAACAGGGGATCGCAAAAAAAGAGCTCATATCAACCCCCAGAATGCCTGCGTATTTGGAAAAAAATTGAATTGAGGGCTGTTAAGATCTGAACTGTGGACACTGTAATGGATGAAAGATAGATAAATAATACAAAAAAAAGTGGAAAAGGGAAAAATGCCTTTCTCTTGAAAAGAATCCTCTAAATAAAGCACCCAAAAAAAGAAAAATAACAGAAAATAAACCAAAGACTATCTGGAGATAAAAAAGAATGGAAAACTCATTAAATTTTGTACTTAATGTGAAATAAATTAAATACAAAATATTGTTAGTTGTGTATTTAAGGTAGTTACCTTGTTGCATATTTAAAGAACCACAGGTTTGTTTTTGTAGATCTCATATTACAAATTGCTGAAAATAATTCTGCTATTTTGTTCCCGAGCTCTTCTTTTGTGATGAGGTGGCCGCATATTCTTTCAGTGTGTAGCCATTTTAAAAATTCAACATCAGGGTGAAAAATGTTTTCTTCTGGTTTGGCCTTCTCCTTTCTTGGCACTGTTCTCAACCAGTCGGCAACAGTGCCTTTGTTTACTTTGAATACAGAGACGGCCTCCCTGATGGAGTTTTTCAAGGCAAAGCTTATGACTTTACTCTTGAACTGAGGTAGATACCTGTCGCCCCATTTCTTCCCGGCTTGGCGATTCTCGAGGTCACCGTTCGATTTCAGTCCTTGTGTTTTTTTGCAGTCTTGGGTTGTAGGATCAGAACTTTCAAGGAAAGAAGAACAACTCTGGTCGCTCAAAACGTTTCCAGAGTCGTCCAGATCGATGTTTTCAAGAGGTGTCAATTTGAATTCTTCTTCGAACAGATCTGACATTTCCTCTTTGGACGGTCCAACCTGGGACAGAAGTTCTTCCTGCATGACTGTGTCTGGATTTTGATTAAATATTGTCAGTCTTTCGGATGTTTCAAAATCAGTCTTTTGATTTGTTTCTGTGAATCTTTTCCATCATCTGTTTCATTCGCCTTGAAAACAGTAGGGAAACAAACTATGAACAATTTAAATCTTCTAGTGGAAAAAAAATATATACATGACTGAATTAACCTTGAAATAAATTATTAATGTTATTTTTTACCTTAAAGTTTGTTATACCAAAATTTTGAAAAGCTTTTTTTGCATAAACTTTTGAACTCCTTGCTTTGAAACTTTTTCCCTTTGGCCAAAAGCCATATTTCATAGCTAACAACTTTTGATGACTGATCACGTTCATATTAAGATCCATTCTCCTGAAAAATGATGCCCTGTATTAAATAAGTGATAATTGCATTTCAATCGTAAGTATTGTGATGTTGAAAAAAATTCTCATATTACATTAAATTCTATCAAATTAAATTCTCAGGTTACTCATTATAATAATGTAAAATACCATCAAACCACTTTATATAAAAAATTTATATTAAAAAAAGACACTGTAGATGGTCTATATAAGACCAAAATGCATCAGAAAATAAATGCCTTTGTGGAAAAGACAATCAATTTTCTACCCATCTTCATTCTGCTAGTCAAAGTAGTGTACTAAAAGTAGGTCCAGTATTCGAGATATTTCACTTCAACCTTTCACAACTTTATTCCATCAAGTCAAACATATCTGATAAAAGATTAATTATTAATTATTAATAATTTGGTTACACTATTGGAAAGAATGAAAACCCTATGAGATTCATTTGTCTTATTATTGCAACAAAACAAAATGCAAATCAGAAAATAAACTTTTATTTGTTTTCAAAGTTCTAGCCTAAAGTTTAAGTAAGATCTTGGTTCCGTACATACCGACAGAATTGGCAATTACAGAAAAATTGCCCATGTGCTTTAAACACATGTACTGTAATTTTTCAAAGTTCAGGTATGTCTAGTGTACAATTAATGTGTAATTGCTAAAACAGAAAGATTTTGCAGTTACAAATGGCTTAAGAAATTAGTCGTTAAAATTTGGAAACTTCTATTTCACTTCTATTAAAAAAAATATTGGTACAAAATTGAAGCAAGCTAGAAAACGCCAAAACATTATTAATTGTTCAAAATCTGCCAGGAAGAAAGTATGTTGGGCGTGCATTTTTCACAAAGGTGGACATTTTTGAACATTTTATTTCATTTTTGGAAGCTTTTTGTTTTTTCTTATTTCAATTTTTTACCTTTCTTTTTCATTCACTTTGTGTTACATTCACTACTGTTTGATAGAAATATTAAAATCTCAACGGCTAATTTTTTTTGTTAACCATTTGTAACTGAAAAATGAATTTTAATCAATTAAAAGTTAATTTTATACTGGTAATAACTGACCTTGGAGAAATTAAGTACACATGCTTCAAGCTCATTAGCAGGGGCAACATTTTTGTAAGCGCCATATCTTACCACAAAAATCTTACTTAAACTTTAGACAAGTGCTTTGTAAACTTGTAAAAGTTTTCCTTCTATCTGATTTTGTATTTTGTTTACTTTAAAAAAAAAAAAAAAGGGAGAAAAATAATCTTATAGGCTTTTTAATATTCTTTCAATCGGTTTAATCAAATTTACAGTAAGATTAAAATTTTATGAGATACGTATACTATATGTAATAAAGTTGTGAAAGGTTGAATTAATGTGAAAAGTGAAATATCTCAATTATAATTGAAAATTAGACTATGGACAATAGGAACTTTTTGGTCCAATTTGACATGCAGGAAAATCTCGTATCGACTATTGATGTCCATTCACAAGACACCCTGTTAGCAAATTATTTAAGTTTGTGAGAAAAAAGATAAGAATTAAAGAAAAAAATGCTGCAGAAGAGAAAGTATTTGTAGGTATTTCACTGTTGAAAACAGAATGTTTATTATAAATATTTCATGTTTTATAGACATTAATACTAGCCTTTACTGCAAAAAGAAAAAAATATCTACCTGAAGCATATCAGATTGAATGCCACAACAAAAATATCCAAGTTCAGAGAGATGATCCAGACCCAATTTAACAACAAAAACAAATGAGAATGGGTGTAAAACTGCCAATGTAGATAACATACAACCAGATTCACCAATACATTTAAGTTTAAATTTACACATGCCAGAAAATCCCTGGTTAAACATATCTGGAATGCAAATTAGGGCTTAACTCTGTCCTCTCACTGATAGGACCTTTTTGAGATGAGATAGGAATGTAAGACAATTTTTAAAACAGAAGAGAAACAATAATAGATTAAAAGTACATTATATGCAGGTTCTTATAAGAAGACAGAAGAAACGCAGAATTTTAATGATTTTGTTCACAGATTTGCTGAAAAAAATTCAATACAGGAAATGTACATTCTACAATGATACCCACCCACGCAAGACTGTTGCAAGGTCCTGGGTAATTTCTTTTCTTTTTTTTATTATGGCAGTGGAACCTTTAAAATATTAATACTAACTTTTTAATTATTTTTATCAGCTTATTCTTAATTATATAATTACTCAATTAATTATACACAAGTTTTTCTAAATAAAATTTTGTGTCATAGGTGCGATTCGAACCCATGACTTCGGCTAAATGCACCGCTGCTCTACCACTTGAGCTACCACTTCTATCGCCCATGCCATAAACTTCCCATTTCGACTCCACGTTCTAATTTCCCGTACAGCAGCAGCGTATTTAGCTGAAAGTCATGGGTTCGAATCCCGCCTGTGACACAAATTTTTCATTTTTAAAAAATTGTGTATGATTAATTGAGTACTTTAAAAGATAAGTCCTTGCATAAAAAAAGGAGAAAGTTTTCTTCTCACATTCCTGGGTAAATTAAAGGTGGCAACAAAAAGAAAAGAAAAATAATCAACTGTTTTATGCAACGTTAAACTACATTAAATTTACTGGGCTCAGAGGTAAAGTAAAATGAAAAATTCCTTCTGATTGAGTAAGAACCTCTCATGTCTGCAGGTTTCTCTATGTGGAGAGTGGACGATCCTGCTGATTAGAGGTAGAAACATACGGGTTGGGCCAAGCTGGATAATACGCACTCATTTGTATTACCCTTTATCTTTTTTTAGAACTGGACTGAGTGGCCTAACCAAATCCTATCTGTACCAACACAAAACATCATTGGGACGCCCTGCCTTCATGAGGATTCAATCCATTGGTTCATAGGTCATTCAAGAAAGTACATTCAATGGCAAATAATAAATGCTCTAGTTCTTTAACTTAAATGAAAGGGTTTCCTTCCCATGAGTTGAAAATATTTAAAAAATCGTATTCGAATCCGTCCGTAGACCTGCTGCACTATTCTGCAGAAGAATATGTTTCCGGAGCTAAAGTACAACTGTTAGAACCAGGGCAATCGACAAATTTCAGATGGGCTTGAGTTAACCAGTGTACTGTAAGCGCAGAACAAAGTATACGACTTGAAGGGCGCAGTATCAGCAGAACCACCTAAATTCTTGTAAGGTTTTCATGTATAGTTGGTTTTGTCTTTTAGCAAAGAATTTGAGAAATGAGTTTTTGTACCTTGTCAAGAGATGAATTCATACTCCATGACTGTTCCCCTTCGACCCAGATCATGGGACGTTCAGATCATGTCATGATGCAACCAGCCACCGACGGCCTGTCGAGACAATAAACAAACAAATAACACGGCTAATTATAAAAAAAATATCTTGACAGTTGTGTCAAGACTCAAGAGTAGAGACTAGAGATGACCGATAGTCGATAGAACATCGATAGTTCTATATTATAAGCTACTATCGATAGGAATTTGGAAGGAAAAGTATTAAAACTTATGTATGACTTATTTTAAATAAATACTATTTGCTAAATAAAAAAGTTTATCGAAATTTTCATATCTTTTCTACCCACGTTGATTCTCTTTGGTAGGAAACAAACTATTTTCCAAGGTCTGTTTTTATAGAAAATGTTTGTATATTTTGAAACCCTTTCATTCACGCTAGTAGATTACATTCATACACCAGACTACACTCACACTACCCCAGAGTACCCGATATTCCTCGGGGTATTTGTTAATAAACCCTTTCATTCACGATAGTAAATTACATTCTCACATTAGACAAAATTCACACTACCATTGAGTACCCGATATTCCTCGGGGTATTTGGGAATAAACCCCTTCACTTATACTAATAAATTACATTCACACACCAGACTATATTCACACTACCCCAAAGTACTCGGTATTCCACGTGGTAATTGGGGATATGCCCTTCCATTCACGCTAAAAAATACATTCACACACCGACTACATTCACACTACCCCGAGTACCCGATATTCCTCGGGGTATTTGGGAATAAACCCTTTCATTCACGATAGTAAATTACATTCTCACACTAGACAACATTTACCCTGTGGTAGCACAGAGTACTTGATATTACTCGGAGCATTTGTGGGATAAGTCCTTCCATTCACGCAAATAAATACATTCGTTCCATTAAGTAACCCATACCACATTCATGAAGATACAAAGATCCTCCTATATATTTTTATTGTTATTATGACTGTTACTTTTAACAAAACAATTTGATTGTTAATTTGATATATTATTATTATATTTTAATAATATTGTATTTTTTTTAATATGCCATGAACTCAGTTATTAATTCTTATAAATTTTATAAATATAGTTGTTCGTTGTTGTATATTTAATGTTGTTGTTCATCGTATATTTTCTATTATATTATTTCATTGCTAATTTTAGTTTTCTTTGTAATCTGCTACTTTTATGCGTTTTTTACATGTAAAAAAAGCGTGTAGTTGCCCGTTAAATAAATAGGTAAGTAATTTCATACTTGTGGTCTGGGGCATCCGCTTTCCCTCCTCGCCCTTGTTAATGTTTGTGTACGCTGCCGACATTTATTTCGAAATAAAAATGTGTGATAACGTGATTTATGTAATGATTGAAGAGATTTGTATAGTTTTTATAGTTTAAAAAGAGAATGGATTGTTTTCTTCTGACGGGCGAGCGGGGAAATTTGTCGAGGCGGTGATGAGATCGTCTCGGAGCTACACTGCGGGATCACAAGTCGAGCCGAGGCCAGCTGACGGAATGTAGCGATTTTTATACCATGTAATCTTGGGATTTGCGTGTCGCACGTTCACATCTTTGTTCAGGAGTCGCTGAAAATCGAACGAGGACCGGGACGAACAGCGCCATCCGCCCGACGCGTTCTCCTCTCGGCCCAGTGAAAAGGACGTCTAGGCGTTAAATGCCGGCAACCGACGGGACCGAGGTGTCGAGTGTTTACAGAGCGGCCGCACGGAAGCTCGCCCCGCCGGCCATTTCCTCATCCGGACCCGAGCCTACGACGAAGGACGGCTGACCGCGGAATCGAGTCGCGTCCACCCGCGCCCGGCCCACAGCCGACGACGACGTCAATCCGGCCGACACTCGCACTTTTCGTAGTCGCCATTTTGTAGTCGCCTGAAATTATTTTATATCGGCCGTTTATTTATTTCGAGACGCATCCTCCTCAGGCCCGACGACGCGCCCTCTCCTCCGTCGCCGGTCCGACCGTCCACGACGGCGATTCACACGGTAAGTCGAATCTTCGAAACGGCCCCACGAAGCGAGCCGAGAAAATCGACCCCCGACACCTAACCTCCGGCGGCTCCTGTCAAGTCGTCCGGCGGCTTCCGACTCAGCCCCTGCCTCCGGCCGCCTCCCGCCTCCCCGGAAGCCGGCCGAGGGCGGAATCCGCCGGACCCGGCACCCGCCCGATCCGCCCAGTACAAAAATGCGTAGTTCCACAGATATCGATTATGTTTCAGGTCTTCTGGAAGTGAAATGGTTTTGAATGTCCTGTCGGTAATCTCCTGGGTTTACTGCGCGTACAGGTACAACGCCGCACTCGGATATTACATCGTACGTTGAATGATCGAGCGCCTGTCGTCCAAGGGCAGAAGAGATGACGATTTCAACCAGGGGCCAGACGGTCGAGCCTCCGGACGGCGAAAACAATATCGTCCCGGTGAGTTGACACATTTTCAAATTTCCGACCTTTTTTTCCTACTTTTCTTTATTCCATCCCGTACCACTACGAAATTTCAGCATTTTCGACCACGATCGCACGCCATTTCAGGCTCGGGGCGAGACTCTTCCGTCCACCTACGAGCCGTAGTGTCATTTCAAATTCTCTACTTTTTATTTATTTTTTAAAATTTTTAATATTTTTCCCCCCAACGCGTAACATGTCGGTTTATAACATTTATTCCTTTGATAACACAATATTGTGACATTTTTATCACCTTCCCCCTTCTCATTGTTACCTACCAGTGCACGGATCAAAAGCACAACAATTTGATTTTTAGGATTTTTATTGTATTTTTTGTTATTCCATTTCGGCATGGATTCGCATGTTTAATATTATAATACGATTTTGAAAATATATTCCGTTTTTGTTTTCAAAATAAACATTACAATTAAAACAAGAAGTAAAAAAGGTTCCTTAAAAAAAAGAAAAAAAATGAAAAAATTGTTTTGACGGGTCGTTCATCTTATCTCAACACAATTTTTTCAGAATCCATCAGTATATAATATTATAATACACTGGTGGACAAATTACACACAACCCTTAAATTTTAATATACACTGACAGACAAAAAATTCCGTCCACTTGTAAAATAACTTTGATTTGTATATATTTTTATATATTAATCAAAGTTTCACGTTTTTTAACGTTCTAAAAAGTACAAAAAGTAACTTGCTAAGGAAAAAAAAAAGACGGACAGATAAAATTTGTTTTACATTTTTAATTAACATTTCAATATTGTGTATTTCCTCCTTTTGCCTTAATTACATATCGAAGACGTCTCGGCATACTTTCTACCAGTCTGGAAATGTCTCTTTTCTTGAGGTTAGCTCATTCTTCACGAAGAGTGCTTTCAAGATGGTAGAGTGTATCTGGAAGTGATGGACGTGTTCTTATTCGTCTTTTGAGGTTATTCCATAAACGTTCGATTGGATTCAAGTCTGGAGAACGGGCTGGTCAGGCGAAGACGCTGATGTTATGCAGTTGTAGGTTCGTTTGATTATGCGAGCGACATGTAGACGGGCATTATCGTGCATTAGAATAGGAGTGTCGCTGATTTCAACGAGGATGGGCAACGCATGATGTTCTAAAATTTCATCCACATAACGAATGCCTGCCAAAGACCCTCCACGAACAACAGACGACACTCCATTGAAATTCCTGCCCACATCATCACTGAGCTATGTTGAAGAGGTTGGTTTTGGGAAAAATTACAGGCTTCGTACCTTTCATTTCGCCTTCTCCACACTTTTTCACGCCCATCTGCAGAGCGTAGAGCAAATCTACATTCATCTGTAAAAAGTACAGCAGATCATCGTTCAAAGACCAATGGCTGTGTTCCCAAGCAAATTCGAACCCGTTACCTCTGTGTGTTCTGGTCGATTCTGGTCATCTTACCGGGTGAAAAGCCATCAGTCCATATTGATTTAATCTTATTCAAGCTGTGAGTTTAGAAATTTGGACAACTCGAACTTCCTGGAGCTGATGGGTACAACAGTAAGGTGTCGGTTTCGCAAAATTTTCAAAGTCAAAAAATGGTCATACTGTGGTTCTGTTACCCTAGGATGTCCTGATCTGGGCCTTCTCTGGTAGGATCCCGTTTCTTGAAAATGTAAGTAGCCGCATACTGATGGAACATCCTGTTATCAATAAGTGCCACACCATGCACAATATCCTCGGCACTAAGTGGCATTTTTAAATTTAAAAATTGAAATCAAGAAAACAAAGATGAAAACTAAACAGGTTATTGCTTCAGAATTCAATTGAGACTGAATAAACATTTTAAATTCCATAAAAATTAAACATTGAAAAATCCTTTATCCTTGTTTTGGATTAAGGATTAAGTGTGTTTACATCTCATTGATATTCCCTATTTAAAACATATTATAAACAAATATTTATTTGTAAAAATAATGAGACAAATTAAGGGCAGAATTTTCTTTTATCGAGAAAATGAAAAAAAAAAAAAAATCAGTTGGGTGGAATTTTTTGCCTGTCAGGGTATTTAGGTTGCTTCATATTTTGCATAAACAGGTTGGGTTATATAAATAAAATATTTAAAAAGAAAATCCTTTATTACCTAAGTTTTAAAAAACGTTGAGTAAAGAACAAAAAACAGAACATAATGTAAAAATAATTAAAAAAAAAAAAAATATTTCCACCTCTTTCCATCCTTGGCATGAAAAACATCCGTTAAATGTCTTCTTCTTTTTTTTTTCTTTTTTTTTTGCAAATGGGATTAATCAGTACAAAATTGATCACAGTCAGCAAGAATTGAGTGTCTTTAGGGAGATGAGAGGGTAAGTGTGTAGCGGCTAGTATAACCGGTGTGATGGTGCGCCACAAAAAAGTTTGAACCTCTCTCAAAAGATGTTGAGGAACTAGGAAGGCCAAGACTAGAGAGAATCTCCAGAGAGTAGATCTGAGAATTGAAAACTTTCCGTATGAATGTAAGACAGGTAACAAGCCTTCTGTCTGATAAAGATTGAAGCCCAGTAAAAAGAAGCCTACCAACATAGGCAACATAATTAGGAGTGCCAAATTTAAAAGGCAATTATTAATAGCCCTACACTGTCAGGTTCAACAGATTAATCTCAGTTATAAGAAATGGATCCCAGATAATATAGCATACTCCAGATGTCTGGTCCAATGATTAATATAACTTTTCATTACCAGTTTTTATAACCAGGTTACCAGGGACTGGAGGAGTTCCATCCAGAGCACTGCAGCTGAGCTGTACAGCTTATTGTACTTTATTTTATCCCTGGCTCCATATTTTTTTTTTGGGGGGGGGGCTCGCAACACAAATGTGAACTTGAGCCCCCATTGTGCCGGTGTTCTTCCATCGAAGAAACTCATTTTTGGAGGGTATTGGGACCAAATTCAGGGTCGCTGAGATCCGATCCCACCCCTTCCATTGATGAGTGCCATGTCAATTTCTTTCAATTGCGGCCACCAGTCCCCTTAGGCGTCAGAAAAAGTCCAGAGGCGACGGTGGGGATCAAACCCACGACTGCGGGATCTACTAGCCTAGAGTCTGATGCCTTAATCACTCGGCTACCGCCCCCCCCCCCCCTGTAACCACCCAAAGGGGTTACTGAAGTCTGAAATAAAATGCTTGGTTAAACTGAGATTCTGTGAAGCCTTCTAATCAGGAAAATGTGATGATGAAAATAACATTTCTTGTTAAAAATGATACCGAAGTCATTTATGTCATCTACTTCATGCAGGAGAAGTAGTTAAAAGAGTTGTACAATATTGGCTGCAAGTAGCATTGTCTAAACAGATAGAGAAAATTTGCCTTCACAAGCTGACTGCAGAAATTAATACAATGTTACCTTACAATTACGTAGTTTATGCTAATATGCTGTCAGAATCAGAATCATTTTGTTGTCACAATATTTACATTGTTTCTGTCATTTACACATGCTATAATATATTCTGTATCACTTTTGTATATTCACTCACTTGGACTGTACAATGGACATAATATGAGCGTATTTTTTATTTTCTTTATAAAAAATTTGCATTATACTACTTTCGTAAGTTGGGGCAAATACATTTTACTAGAAAAATTTTCAGAACTGTTTTTGTGTATTTGTCTTCTTTCAAAACTGTATAACTAGATTTCTGTTACTTCTTTTATTTACATTCATTATTTTAAAAACTTTTCTAAAATTATTTTCATTCTGTTTTACATAAACAAATTTGTAGAAATTTGATAGTGCAGGGCCACTGAATGTTTTATCCTGAGTGAGGATTAGGATTAAATCATTAATAACAAACCAATTATCAATAGATTTTCTCCGGACAAGTTTTTACTAATCTATAATCATCTTCGTTGGAATTTTCTAATTTAATAAAAATCAGTTTCACCTCCGCAGAAACCTATACTATAGTTGACAGTACCCCGAAAGAGTGCTGTATGTGTTTTACATTGGCGAGAAAATTATTTCACATCATTTAATATCAGTCCGTGCCGGCAAACTTCAATTTATAAATATTTAGTCAGAAAATACTCAAATCGCCTTTGGTGACTGAATATTCATTCAGTGCTCAATTCGAATTATAATCGCCATTTTAGAACAATTATCAATCAGGGTCTTGGTGAGCACTATCTTTATTTATGAATGAGCATTGATAAGTTGAGTCTAAATTATGTAATGTAAATCATATAGCCATCTTTATAAAGAAAAAATTTATTTTCACTTTCTTTTTCAATCAAAGGTATCGAGGATATTTTTTTCTCTTTTTTTTTTAAATTCTCCTCACCTATTGCCGAGGTCATTCTTTTATATTGTATTATTGAATTATTATTATTTATTATTATTATTATTATTATTTATTATTATTATTATTATTATTAATTTTTAAGGGCGTTTTATTATTATTTATTATTACTAATATTAATATGTATTATTTTTATTATAATTAACTTTTCTTAATATGCCTTGCTTATATTTTTATACTAATATATACACATCAGTAATAATAGAAATCGCTCTATCTGTAAAGGATATTTCCTATCTACAGATTAAATATAAAATAAATTTAAAAAATAGTGAAAAAAAGTTATTTTGTAAAGCTGATTGTTATTGAATACAAACAACAAATCCTCGGATAAGAATGTCTTTTTGATTGCAAACAAAATCTATTTTTAACATTAATATTTGAATTTATAAATAGCCCTGATGTCTTATTTTATTTACAGCACCCTTAAAACTCTCTAAGTAGGGACATTCACAAGAACAGAGGGAAACTTTGAATCCCTTTGGCAAATAAAGCTTTTTTTGTAGCTCGGTTGTTGCACATCAATTTAGTCCGTCTATGATTGAACCAGTTTCAAGAAACAGGGCAAGAGCACTACTTGCTCTGTAATTTGCTCGCTGCATGACCATCCCTAGTCCAAATGGACAAACGCTCTCGTTGGTCGTTCAGTT